GAGAGGAGAACAACTATAAGCCAAACAAAAGGTAGACGACCATCATAGATCTTGATGACAGTTTATTTATAGTGTTTGTCACTCTCATTCTTGATATATTTTCTCCTTCTATCAATGCATCTTTATTTATTTCAAGAGAATATCTTGTCTAAATCACAACACTTTGACCAATGAGCTTTTAATAGACCAAAGTAATGTTCTTGTACTCATTGATGCCTTCTTGGTATGTTTTGATGGTTTGAAGTTACAAAGCAACCTAAGGATGACTGGATCAAACACTGAATAACTTTGGAGGACCAAGTGAGATATATGGAGAAGATTAAGGAGCTTTTGTGAGGAAGAAGTGGTCCAATGATGGAGAAGCCAACTAGAGTTTGCTACATTAACTTAAGACAAGCCCATAGAAGGAAGACTAGGCCCAATCTATATAAAGAATGAGCGGTGGCCCAAGCAATGGGTCCAACCTTCGTTCCATCAAGTTGCAACCCAATCTTCATGATAACAAGTACATGTACCAAAAAGCCCAACCCACGAAGACCCCCGCCCTACCGCCGCCTCTTCCTTTCCTTGCTGACTAAGTTTACTTAGACTACAAGGTTTAGGAGACTCTTTTCTAGACATTTTATGATGTTTTAGGCCGAGATTCTCCCCTATAAATAACCCATTAGCATAGTAAGGCTGCACAAACACAAAAATTCAATGTAACACTCTACTCGAGTGCTTAGCCTAGTCGAAGTAGGGGGTCTGCATCTAAGGAGATGTTTTCATCATCGATGGTGTTACCTTCCTTCTCCTCTATGTATCTATTCAAAATTGATTGAATTAGGATGCGATCTTGTTTACTGTTATGTGAATGGATGCTATGATTTCATCTCATGCTTGTGTTTGTCTATGATGCTATTGTTTGTGTATCAATGCTTTTAGTCTCAAAGCTTATGGGATGTCCATTGATGGTTATATAGTATGAATGCAAATGTATTATCTATTCTCATGATTATATTATATGCTACTATATGCATTGTGCTTAGTATTGCCTAGGTTGTCAAGAAATTACCATCTAGGGATACCTCATTGATGCTACACGAGTATGGATGGAATGAACAACCATTTATGCTTCAAGTAGTATCAATGCTTGATAGTTAGATAATCGATGCTATCGATTATGATTATGGTTCTTAAATGCCCACAATTAACTATATGTTATCCTAACTTCCTTGCTATTCATTGATTAGGTAATGTCATGAAGCAAAAGCACACATTAGCTACTTAAATCTCTATCATAAGAGGAGTGTGCACGGGTACAGAGTGGCCTTAGAGGAAGGGATTGGTTATTAAAATAGATGAACCATGGATGCATGATATGAATGAGCCCTAGTATGCATGATAGTTTTCGAGTCACTACCTTCCACCATAATGTATCTTTAATTCTATGCATCCATAAATTGAAAATCTGTAAACAACTTTACTCTTCTTGCTTTTCTTGTTTGTTGAATGAAAAGCCACTGAAGGTCTTTATGATTCTCATGTATGTCATGGATGCTTTGTGTGAGTAGTTATGCATTAGAAACCTCAAGGAATATGACCCTCGGGCCTCATAGGATTTTATAACTGGATTGAAAAATCAAGTTTTTGGCATTGTTGTCATGGATTTCTAATCATATATAAAATAATCTAACCATCTTATGTTTAGCATTGAGTCTTCTTTATTTTTGTAGTTTTTCGTATGAGTCTAGTAGGTACTAGAATAAAAAAAAACCTAAAGATCTTGGAAGAGATAGTTCACGAAGGAGGAGCATCAAGTTCACCCATCTTGAAGACGAAGGAATGAGCATCTAGCTCAGGAGAAGAATATCCCTCAAGCCCCACCAATTTCGAGCAACCCTCGATATAGAAGGACAACATAGACGAAGACAACTTTGATTTGGATGAAGAAATAGCATCTTCAACTTCTTCAACACCAATGATGGCTGGAGAATAAAAAGAAAGACAAGCATTCGTTCCACCAACTCTCTATGAGTTTTCAAGGGGAAGAGCATCTAACATCACCTCAAGTATTGTTGCAGCACCAACGACCATAGAAATAAGAACTCAACTCATCTAGATGGTGCAACAAGCTGGAAGATTTAGAGTTAGGAATGACGATGATCCAGTGCAACACTTGAAGACATTCTTAGAGATTGTCGATTCCATACAAGGAGATGATGCTACCAAAGATGGAATTCGACTATGAATTTTCCCATTCTGACTTAGAGGAAGATCAAAGAAGTGGCTCGACTACCATTCACGAGGAACCTTCACTACTTGGGAGACCTTAGCACAAGCATTCATTGAGCAGTACTTTGTACCATGGAAGACAGAAGAGCTTAAAGACGAGATCAACACACATAATAATGCACCATAACTTGATAACAAGCCTAAAACGACTAAACCATCAATTCTCCAAGAAGTACCTTCGATGTTTTAGGCATCTTATTGACTCATAGAAAATAGTACATCACATCATCAAATCAACACCCCAAACAACCAAGATTTAGCTGGTCATGCTAAAATGAGAAGGAGCAGACAAAAAATGTGTCATTCCCTTCTCACTCCTACAAAGCTTCGGTTATCCTGAGTTGTAAATAGGTACTCTTTAACTGAAGTATAAGTACCTATTTATAGTACAAGAGAAAGGGGGTACAAAGGATATTTCATCAACTTATGGATGAAGTAGCTTCTAGGAGAAGTTTCCTTGAAGTCTAAGGATAGTGGCGACAGCGCCAGTTGGGCTCTCCACTCCATTTCTTTATGGGTTGGCTTTCTGACTCATGAACTTCTTCTCCATAAAAATTGGACACAACTTGTGGTAGCGGTGGTTGGACTTGTTGCTTGGGCCGCCACTCTTTCCTTCATGAGAATGGACCGAGTCTTCTTCCTTTGGGCTTGTGTTAAGATAATGTAACAATTTCTAGTTGGTTTCCCTATCATTGAGCAACTCCTTTCTTACGATAGATCTTTAATATTCTCTTTATAACTTTGTTGGTCCCCCAAAGTTTTTCCTTGACCCAATCTTCCTTAGCTTGCTTGATACCTTCAAAACCATCAAAAGTATACCAAGAAGGCATTAAATAGTACAATAAAATTGCATCTCTAACAGAAAGAACGGTACTTAAGACGGACTTGGAATGGAAGAAGACTGAAGACTTAAACTTATAGAGAAAGAGGTTGTGTCTTTTTTATGTATTCAACTTTCATTTATTTCACAAATAATGTACGTAATTTATGCTTTTGATTAATATATATATATATATATACTACAGTAAATTGGATATAATTTTAAGTTAGATAACTTGATTTGATCTTAACCATTAAAATAAATCCTAATCATTTTAAGCCATTGATTAAAAATAAAAGAAAAATAAAACAAAAAAAGAAATAATGGCAACTGGAGTCTGGCGGTGCCAGTTGCTTTTAGTTTGCGGGAAAATTTCTTTCCCTTTTATTACTTTTTTTTGGTAACTTTCCCTTTTCTATTTTATGTGTCTTGTTTCTCTTTTTCTTTTTTCGTGTTTAATTTTTCTTTTTGATTATTTAGTTATTGTACTTAATAATCATTAGGTAAAATACACATTCATTACGTAAAACTTACGTAACGATAATTATATTGTACGTAACAGTTAAATTAGAAGCGTGACGTAAGACTTCCGTAATGACTTAGTACATTACATAACACGAGGTTAATATTCATTACGTAAAAGGACCTTCCATTACAGAAGGTTTCCATAAAGACATTTTACAACTGTTACGTAAAATACACATCCATTACGTAAGTTTACGAAATGATAGTTAATTGTTCCAAAACAGTTAAATCACAAGCATTACGTAAGGCTTCCGAAATGACTTAACACTTTACATAACGTGAGGTTAATACTCATTATGTAAAAAAACCCTCCGTTACGTAAAGGTTACGGAACATAGTTATTTCTTACGTAATAGTTAAATCGGAAGCGTTACGTAAGGCTTTCGTAATGATATTTTACAACTGTTACGTAAAATACACATCCATTACGTAAAGTTTACCAAACGATAGTTAGTTTTTCCGTAACAGTTAAATCACAAGCATTACGTAATGCTTCCTCATTGACTTAGCACTTTACGTAACGTGATGTTTACACTCTTTACGTAAAAAAGCACTCCATTACGTAAAGGTTACGGAACATAGTTATTTCTTACTAATAGTTAAATCGGAAGCGTTACGTAAGGCTTCCATAATGACTTTACACTTTACGTAATGCAATGTTGGTGTTCATTATGTAAAATAACCGTCCATTACGTAAGGCTTTCGTAATGACCTTTTACAACTGTTACGTAAAGTAACCATATGTTACGTAACCATTACGTAATGTCTATTGTATTTTACGTAATGCAACCTATGAAACCTGCTATAGCATGTAAAAAAATTCAAGTTACCTTAGGAAATCCCTATATATATATGGCAAATACTAGCGTACACCTGACGTACGCTATACACCTATGTTCACATTTAAAAAATAATTATTAAAATAAGGCTTAATTGCAAGTTTGGTCACTCGAATTGCTATAAAATTTCACGTTTGCCACTCAAATTAATTTATTTCATTTATAGTCACTCGAATTAGTTGAACAGTTCAAGTTCGGTCACTCTCCGTTAACCTCCGTTAACTTTGACTGACGTGGCGGTCAACTCTGACAGTTGACCGTTAAATGTGTGACGTGGCAAATAAAAAATAATTAAATATTAAAAATTAAATTTTTAGAAATTATATATCATTGTAAAAAAAAATATAATTATAAAAAATGAAAAAAAGAAATTATCACAAAAAAAGACATGTGACATGGTAAATAAAAATTAAATTTTTAGAAATTACACATCATTATAAAAAAAATTATAATTATAAAAAATAAAAAAGAAATTATCACAAAAAATGAAAATAATAATAATCATGTCTTGTTTTGTGATAATTCCCCCCACTATGCATCCAGACTTGATATCCCAGAAGTTCCGCACCAAGAAACACAAAAGCAGAGCGATAGCACACTAGATTGCTGGAGCGTGTACAATTGACGAGGTGTTGGGCATCACCCACAAGACATCACTCCCGGGTCGATCACGACCTTGAAGTCCCTTGGTGGCGACCCCAGCTTTATTTTTGTGTAATACAGTCTGCCCAACAAAACCAAGATTAGCAACAAAAAAAAATCAGTCAATCCCTGCTTCTGCTTGGAATCGACTAAGTAGTAGAGAGTGGTTAGCGGTAGGCAGGGGAGAGGAAACAGAGTTAGGAGGGAAGATTGGACAACAGTACACAGAGGCAAAATATTAATTTTGCGTTTCCTTTTACGAGATCCCCGAACGGCGTCGTTGAAGACCAAAATGCTCGAATTAGTATGCGTATTGTCCAATGTCCAGTCCTTTTGCCGCCAAATTTTAAAATTATTTACTCCCTCTTTCTTTTGTTTATATATGTACAGAACATAAATATTGATTTCAAACTGGAGAAAGCAATTTAAAAAAAAAACAAACAAACAACAAACAGGGGGAAACGGAATTACCCGAACAGATCGGCATCCTCTGAACCGTAAACGGGGAAGCTGACAACTCCATGGACGGCGGTGGACTCTCGCCAGATCCTCGCATGCCTAGCTCGGTCCCGAGCTATCAGTTGCTCCATGGATGTCGAGTTCGACGACAAAGACAAACTTCTCTCAAGATGGAAAATCGCAGCGCCTTCGATTCCAAACAGATAAATGTCGGAGAGCATCATCACCACCATGATCACACACACTGACGAGGAAGGAGAGCTAGAAACTGTCATTTTGATTAAAAGGAACAGAGGATTGCGGGGGAACAGGGGAAGATAGAGAAACAGGGGAGGAGTCTCTCTTGAAACGTATGAACGATGCTGATGGTACTAATCAATCGAGAGTGTGAATTGGCATCTGGGAATTCAAGATTGATCTTTATCTGCATCCTTTTGTATACAGAGTTGGTTGATGACCGTTAAAAAAGAAATTATCACAAAAAATGAAAATAATAATAATCATGTCTTTTTTGTGTAATTTCTAGAAATTATCACAAAAATGAAAATAATAATAATCATGTCTTTTTTTGTGATAATTTCTTTTTTATATTTTTTATATTTATAATTTTTTTTATAATGATGTGTAATTTCTAAAAATTTAATTTTTATTTTTTAATTATTTTTTATTTGTCACGTCACACATTTAACAGTCAACTGTCAGAGTTGACCGCCATGTCAGTCAAAGTTAATGGAGGTTAACGGAGAGTGACCGAACTTGAACTGTTCAACTAATTCGAGTGATTATAAATGGAATAAATTAATTTGAGTGGCAAACGTGAAATTTTATAGCAATTCGAGTGACCAAATTTGCAATTAAGCCATTAAAATAATTTTAATTTAATTATGAGTATATTAATTATTATTAATAATTAGAATTACAACCAAATCAATTAATTAATTGTTGTATATAATTTAGTCCCTGTCCCAATATATTACCTTATTTTTCCAACTTGTCTTCTCCGACATCTAGAGACAGCGACGCACTGCACAGGGGACAGGTAGAGATCAGAGGCATCGCCGATGAACCACAATTCCAATCGGACCACAATCCACCTCTTACCTTATTTTTCTAGTCCGGCCACAATCCACCTCTTACCTTATTTTCCGGCAACGATGTCGTGGCGGCAACAGAGGGTCGGGAATGCACCTCCATACTCCGCTGCAGAGGCATCCCAATTGAACCCCAATTCCAATCCGATTGCAATCCAGCTCCATACTCAGCTCTCAATTAACCATTATTTTTACCATCAAATTAATTCAATGCCTCCCAGTTCACTATTGATGAATATGCTTTGTGAACCCCAATTTTCATGTTCTCTTTTCACTCTGTTTGGAGTAGGAGGCTATCTCCATTACGTTGTCTACTATCTACGGAGTTATTTTATTTGAATTTGTTCTTGAATCATGTGACGCCTTATCACCAAAATCTCTAGGCTCTCTATTTCGAGGCAGAGGCGAAGGGTTGGGACTAGGATAGGCTGAGGATTTAGCGGGAGCGGAGGGTTGGTAGAGGCGCGGGAGAGTTCCGGTTGCCGGACGGGGAAAGGGCACCGACCGCTCGATAGAGGTTTGTTTGGTTTAGGATTGGAATTAATAATTATTGTGGGACTAAAACATAGACAATTTTTTTTAAGGACGTGGTTGTAATTATAATTACCAATTACAACTATAACTAATTTATTTATAAATAAAATTGATTTATTAGTGTGAACGTAGGCGTTTAATGTGCGTACGCTAGCTTAAACCATACATATATGGTGCCTTCTACCGTATCCCGGGTGAAATCCGGGGTACCGCATGGCGCATACATTGAGTATGAAAACGCTATCTAGACCTCGAATTAGCAGGATTTTTGGGCATGATACTATACCCTAACCCTTAATGAGTGAACCCTAGGTCCTAATTATCTAAATCACAAACTATAAACCGTAAGACGGTGCATTGATTTTTTGCCTATATTTGGACGAATCATAACCATCGATTATTGTTTCTAATTAAATTGATCTTGGGGTATAAGATTTAGAGAATTAAGGCCTAGAATTTGATCTTTAAGGTTAGAGTATAGTATCAAGTCCGAAAGATCAGTCAATTCAAGTTCTGGATAACGTTTTCATATTCAAGGTATGCGGTACCCCGGATTTCACCCTGGGTACTGTAGAATTTCCATATGTGTACATATATAATTAACATATTCTTATACGCATGAATATGAATAGTGTGTGTCAAGCATTTAGAGACAAATATAATAGGATATTATCTTTATGTCAATTTCCCGCGTAATTTTATCTAAACTCAAGTAGACTCATTAATTGTGGGTAGGGTATGGGTTAAGCATATATGGGTTTGGGTACAGTATGAATATTGTGTACATAATCTAAAAGGTTATGTGTTGGGTAAGGATACCATTTACTTGAGAGTGTTTAACAACACATAAAATTTGGTACTAAATCTATAGAGCTATTAAATTTAGGTACCAAACTATAATTTGCATATAATATGTTTAGAGTTCCAAATTTTTGAATTAAAAATTCAACCCAACTCAACAATTGGGTCTAGGTATAAACCCATCAAACTCTACCCATTTATCATCTATTTGGATTTCATACTCAATCCAATTGAATTGGATAGTAAAATAAACATGGGTATGGGCAAAATTGTCATCCTTATATTACTTGCATCTAAAAGGGTGGTATTACGCTAGGTTTTGTGGGTTTCAGTGTGTTTTCGTATAGGTGAAACCAACCTCAGAGTCGAAAGTTGGATGAAAAGAGGCAAAGAGTTTCCCATTGGAATTCACGGTCTCATATGGTCGTGAACTGACGCCCAAAACCGTGAACCGCGAAGCGTCCAGGGCAAATTCTGAAGTTAGTGACGCAAGGCGAGTTCACGGTCACAAGACCGTGAACTCATGTGAGTGAAGCAGTGCATTTCGACGCAGAGCTCTGAGTTCACGGACGCATTGAAGAGTTCACGGCCGTGAAATGAGCCTGATCCCAGTATAAAATGTGAGTTGAAAGGAAGAGAGAGGGGGAGCCCAAGAGGGAGAAAGTGTCTTCTTCTTAAGATTTTAGAGAGAGAAAGGATGAACCAAGGAAGAAAGGTGGCTAGGATTTGCTCCAAGTGGTGAATTGAGAAGAATCTCTCCAAGAGAAGATCAACACAAGCTCAAAGGATATTGGAGGCATCACCATGATGGTTTCTACTTCTTTCTCTTGTGTTCTTCCCCTTTCTAGCTTGGAGTAGTACTCTTTTTCACTTGGGTGTTGTGAAACCCTAACTATTTTCCATGTAGTTGTAGTGTGACTTAAATGATTGTTTATGGGTGTTGTTTAATTTAATGATTGAGGTATTTTTCATGATGATTGTGCATGTGTGTGCTTAGAAATTTAATTGGTCATTCTAACCTAGGTTAGAGGGGAAACTCCCCTTTTCAAAAGAGGCTCAATTGAGTTGGGATTTCTTTGGGCTTTACAAGCCACTTACCTAGGTTGATGTAGGGCAAACCACTATCTTGAACTAATCAACTAGGTTAATCATGATTAAGCCGTCCAACCATCGGTTTGAGGGAGAAGGTTAGTCAACCCTTAATTACCTTAACCAAGAGGGCTACTCTTGTATCCTATAATTTATCCCCTAGTTCGGCAATTGATAGTGTGGTCTTCGACCATAGTTGCACCTCCTAGCGGTTATTGATTGCCTTGCCCATAACGTCCCATTCGAATCCACGTGCCATCGTAGTAGTTAGGGGGAAGCGACACCCGAGTGATCCTTCTCATCTAGAGCATTCAAACCATTTACCTTTGCTTTTCTTCGATTTAAATTTCATAGTTTTCAACAAAAAACCAATCCGCTAGATAATATTTCAAACAATGGAAGTAGGGGTACAATGACCGGCCCAGGTTGATATTTAAACATATTTTTCGTATATTGCACCCATATAAGGTTTATGCTTCAGCATTAGGTGGGAAATTTTTGTGATATTCGGGATGAGTCAAGTTTTTGGCGCCGTTGAAGGGGAACTTCGGTCCGCTATCTTGAAAATTTTGTTTGGTGTTAATCTAGCTTTAATTTTTTGATTTGTTTGTTTGAGTGCTTTGCTTGTGCTAGACGTGGTGTTGTTCTCTAAGTGTGTGCAGAGAGGTGCATGACCCGGAGCAATCTGTCGCCTTTAGTACCGCTTGACGAAAACATCAATAAGGTTCTCCGGCTCCTAGCTCGGGAGAGGGAGTTAGCGGAAGCAAGGAGGAGAAGTGAAGATAGGGGACAATAACTGTGTCCCGGAGTTAGTGCACTAGAAGTTGAAGGAGTTGAAGAAGAAGTTGATATTGGAGTTAAGATGGCAGAGAACTAAAGAGAAGGAGCAGCCGAACAAGCTCACAACCACAATGATGAGGCGGCAGAGGAGGAAGCCCCGAGGACAATGGGGTATTACATGGCCCCACGGCCGGTGGATATTCAATCGCCTATCTTACACCCACCCGTGGAGGCCAACAACTTCGAAATCAAGTCGGCCCTTGTGACAATGATTCAGAACAATGCTTTGTTCCACGAGCACACAAGTGAATCAATGAGGGCGCACGTGCAAAGATTTCTTAAGCTCGCGGGGAGTTTGAAGATAAATGGCATGCCGGAGGAAGCTTTGCAATTAAGGCTTTTCCCCTACTCACTTTCGGGGAAGGCACTTCGATGGCTCAACAGCCTGCTGCCTCATTAATTTACCTTGTGGGATGATCTTCTCAACAAATTCATGACCCGCTATTGCCCGCCTTCGAAGACGGCCGAGTGGAGAAAAAAGATCACCCATTTCGAGCAAGATGAAGATGAAACCTTGAGGGATGCTTGGGAGAGATTCTCCGACTATTTTCTTCAATGCCCTCACCATGGGTTCGAAGAACAATTTCGGATTGAAACTTTCTACGATGGGCTCATACATGAAGACAAGATCCTCATTGACTCTCTTTGTCAAAGGAGGTTGATGAATATGATCCCACCTCAAGTGACCCCATTGCTAAAAGATATGGCCCTCAAAGGATATGATTGGGGTTTGACGAGAAGTGGGAAGAGAAGCAATGAAAGAGGAGTAAGAAGTGTGGGAGCAAGTGCTCCACTTGAGGCGAAGCTTGACAAGTTGATCGAGGTAATTCTTGAGGATAAGAAGCAATGGAAGAGAGCGGTGATGTTGTGCGATTGGTGTTCAAGCACGAACCATGAGTTGGCGGATTTCCAAGCAATGAAGAAAGCAAGCACTCCGGAGGAACAAGTCAATTTCGTTGCCAAGGCTAAGGGGAACAACCAGTATAGCAATACATATAACCTCGGGTGGAGAAATCATCCTAACTTTGCTTGGTCATCCCCGACTAATCCC